GTAAACTAATCAAACTTAGATTGTTTTAGCCTTTATTAAACTATAATGAATGCTATGCATATTTATTGAACCATATACACAGATTTTAAACTACGCGATCTAAAATAATTCGTTGTCTTGTGCCTCCCGCTTGTGGACAACATTAGTATTGCATCCTTCATCTCTCAATGGAAATCTCAACATATTTCTTATCCTGTGGTTCCCTCTAGTGGACAACATTAGTACATTGTTGTATGTTTTAGTCTTTTTTGAGTTGGCAAAAACCACTCGACTGATTCACATGAAATTTTGCATGTATCATCTATAGACACTAATGACAAAAAATAATTTTAATTAGTCAAGCCATTTAGATATACGCCAATACATTTTGCAGCCACTGCACCATGCACTAATTAAACAAATGAAGTGTACATTGAATGGACACGTCGCACCCTATCCCAGAATTAATTGCAAGACGACGACGGAATTTATATGCAAAGAAAATGGCGGGGGAGAGTTCTGTGGCGGCCGAGGAATTCACATTTAAATGCAAGTATTGTGTTTTAATTTACTCAAATACCTAGCAAAATCATAGACTGTAAAAAAAGATGGACCATGCATCTCCACTTCCTTCCACTATAGAAAAGTGAAGCCAAAGCATCTCAGTATGGCAAAGACCCATTTGTAATAGAACAATTTGGTGCAAACAGTGATGATGTTTTTGTGGGTGGAGCCTATCTGGTGACAGAAAATGACAGTTTTCAAGTAGCAGTCTATGGAAGCCATGGAATAAACGAATAAAAATAAAAAGATTCCGACTTTATTTTCGCAATTCCGAGATTATATCTCACAATTCTGATTAGGAAAAACAACTTGTCATTCTATGGGATGAAATTTGTCTCATATTTACTTACAAATGCATGCAAAATTATCCATGAACTTGATAATTGTTGCAACTGTATCTCACTATCCACAACCAAATGCCTGTCAACTTGTGTCAGTCAAATTCAGAGAGTTACGTGAACATGCAGCCATTTTTCACAAATAGAAACATGGTTTTGAATGCAGATGTTAGTGTATCAGAATTTGCGCATGCGACAAGGAAGATGTGCATTTGTGGATCAATCTCATCGCAGCTGAGCCTACAACCCCTGGCAAATATTATGGAATCACCACACTTAGATGTTCACCCAAAGTTTTGACTTTATAACAAATAAACAAATCACGGATATGACAACAATTTTTGCTTGATAATTCAACACTGTTTATGTCAAACATACCTCAAACAAATTAAATTAAAACATTTTAATTAATGGAAAACTGTTTTCCATATCAAGTAGAGGAAAAAAAAAAAAAAGGAATCAGCTTGTAATTTACATTTCTGAAATAAATACCGGCACATATCTAAAAAGCTAATTAGTCAGCAGTTAAAGGGGTCATATGATGCTTTTTTTAAAGATCATTATTTGGTGTATTTGGTGTAACAGAATATGTTGACATGCTTTAATGTTCAAAAAACACATTATTTTTCAAATACTGTACATTATTGTAGGTCCTCTATGCCCCGCCTCTCTCAAACGCTTCGTTTTCTACAAAGTCCCTCCTTCCGGTGCTTCCAGACCTTAACGAGCTGTTGGACTTGGCCCCAACAAGAGAGCCGTCTGTTGAAACAATGGAAAGGATTATAAAACTCCTTCAAGAAGGAAATCCATCACGGAGTGTGGCAAAAGAAGTTGGACGTTCCCAGTCAGCTGTTTCTAAAATTTGGTGCAAGTATATACAAAATGGAAAGGTTACAAAAGGAAAACATACAGGCAGACCAAGGAAGACCCCAAAGCATCAGGATAGAAAATGCACAACGAAACAAATGAAAAACAAATGGGCGGAAACAGGAGCCAATGTGTGTGACAGAACTGTAAGAAACCGGGTGAATGAAATGGGATTTAAATATAGAAAAGCCAAACGAAAACCAGCATTAAACACCTAAACAGAAGAAAACAAGGTACAGTGGGCTGAAGAGAAGCAGTCATGGAGTGTGGATGATTGGATGAATCACGAATCTGCATTGGACATGATGCTGGAACTTCTGTATGGTGCCGCTCTAATGAAATGCATAAAGACGACTGCATGAAGAAAACAACCAAATTTCCCAACTCATTTATGATATGGGGTTGCATGTCAGGTAAAGGACCAGGAGAAAATGGCAATCCTTACCTCAACAGTCAATGCAGCACAAGTGTACATTGAAATTTTGGACACTTTTCTCATTCCATCAATAGAAAAGAAGTTTTCAGGATGATAATGCATCTTGCCACAGAGCAAAGAGTGTTGAAGCTTTTCTTCAGGAAAGGCATATCAACTCAATGACATGGCCAGCAAACAGTCCGGATCTCAATCCGATTGAACATTTATGGTGGAAATTGAAAAAACTGGTCCATGACAAGGCTCCATCTTGCAAAGCTGATCTGTCAACCGCTATTCGACAAAGTTGGAAGCAGAATATTGTTTTTCATTAGTGAAGTCCATGCCCCAAAGAATTCAGGCCGCCATAAAAGCAAGAGGAGGAGCAACAAAGTACTAATTGTGTGTTTTGGTAGATGATTCCATATTTTTTTCCTCTACTTGATATGGAAAACAAATTTTCATGTTGAATTATTAAACAAAAATAGTTTTGTGTGATATCTGTGATTCGTTTATTTGTTATGAAGTAAATAATTTGGGTAAACAACATCTAAGTGTGGCGATTCCATAATTTTTGCCAGGTGTTGTAAGAAAATCAGCGACCACTAGATGGCACCAGCCCCAGCTACATGTGCACAATCCATTGTGTATGGTTTTATAAATGGTTAAAGTCATTTTATTTATTTATTTATTTTTGGCTATTCTCCTCTGCCTGTAGAAATATCTAAAAACTCCAGATGTTTTATTGAACTTATTGTAACTTAACTTGTCTCACAGAAACAAGACACAGAATAGCCAAACAAGCACTTCGTGACGTTACCTTGGGTTTTTCTGTATTTTAACAGCACATTATTCCTTCCTTGTTTTATTATTATTATTATTAAAGGGTTGCCTCCTGATAAAGATTATTCTAGTCGACTACAGTCACTCATTTAAGGCATTAGTAATCGCACGTTCGTATAAAATTAATTATAAAATTATATAGCCTACTATACTAAACCAATGAGCCTTTAATAGGCTATAGCCTATTCCACGCTCAAGCGGACGCATTCATATCGTTAGCTAAATAACAATGTAATCAACTTCCAGGGTGGCCTGATATTTATAATGAAAAGGTGGTGCAGTCCTACATACATCTCAGTGTTTGATTTAAAAGTGCAATCTAGAAGCACAAGCAGCTGATGAAGGTCTCAGATGCAGTCAGGAGAGAAGCTGCTGGTGAAAACCATCTCTATGCATGCAGACAGAGACACACCCTCTGGAGACCAACATTGTGAAGTCCTATGAGTGGAACGAGTGGGAGCTCCGAAGAAAAGCCATTAAACTGGTGAGAAGCGTTCACACACATGATCTCAGTCCAGACATGCATTAGAGAATTTAACCCTGTAAGAAACTCTCTGTCTCAGGCCAATCTGCGGAATAAAGTCACACGCTCGATGCAGACGCACTCGAGTCACATGAGACGACACAACAGCACACAGACGTTCCTCCCTAAAGACGCCGCCAGCCAGACGAAGCGGGACGGAGAGAGTAACGTACCCAAAGCACAGGTGTACCTGTCAGGACTGAGAGGAGGAACAAACATGATGAAGCTGGATCTGACCAGAGCTGTTGATGAGTGACCTGCACACTCAGTAAACTCTGAAAGCAAACTGTGTGAATGTGTCAGTCTGCTTCAGGACACGCCTCTGCGTCTCAAGGTCTTTCCTGAACACAGGATGAGATCTTTAGAAGAATGGCTTCCATTATATCTGAGACTTTTCTCACTATATCTTCTATGTTGATAGAAGGTTCATTTTTGAGTGAATCTCTTTCAGTAGCATTAACTCATTCTACAATTAATCCCTGTTAACCACTTCCTACACCCACAAACCTCGTGTCCGTTCAAGTGGACGCACTTCATTGTGTGATTCATAGAAATTGTGTGTTATGAAATACTGTCTTACTTCTTCCAGGTCTTGTGTAAAGCAATGAGAAAGACTCAGACTCATCACAGGTGCTCAGACTCATCATTTTTTTAAAATACATTTATTATAGATTACTAAATTATTAGTTACTACATTAATAAATTATTAGTTATTAGCAACATTCAGAAGTATTATTTTTAACGTTAAGCCACCAATTTAACAGAATTTACTTTCTAAAATATTATACAAAAATATAATTGACTTTCTAAAAATATTAGTTTAAAAATAGCATTTACTTTCTGAAATATTAAAAATAGCTTTTTTGCATTTCTTACATTAAATGTCACTAATAAGCCACCAATTAGTGACTACATTTACTTTCTAAAATATTATACAAAAAAATCTTTTACTTTCGAAAATATTATTTTAAAAATAGTATTTACTTTCTGAAATATTAAAATAGCTTTTTTTGCATTTCTTACATTAATGTCACTAATAAGCCACCAATTAGTGACTACATTCACTTTCTAAAATATACAAAAATATAATTTACTTTCTGAAATATTAAAAAATAGCTTTTTTTGTTGTTTTTTTTAAATTTCTTACGTTAATGTCACTAATAAGCCACCAATTAGTGACTACATTTACTTTCTAAAATAGCATAAAAAATAGCATTTACTTTCGGAAATATTATTTAAAAAAAATTGCATTTACTTTCTGAAATATTATAAGAAATAGAATATCGTTTCACATTTTTTTACATTAGTCACTAATTGATGCTTTATTGGTAACATTACTTTTACTTTCTATAATATTGTATAAGTAGTTGTTGTTTTTTTACATTCCTTACATTAATAATTTGTGAAGCACTAATTAAGTGATTATTTTTACATGCATTTACGAATTTCTCATTTAAAAATTTCTTATGATCCTTTCTCATTTCTACAGACAGCAGCGTTCTAAAATATTATATTATTGTCGTTCTTTGTGTCGAGTGGTTTTCTTCTGTTTTTGAGAGCGTTTAGTGACGGAGCTGCAGGTGTTCGCGGGTTAAGAATACGAGCATGTGAACACAAGCGCTGCTTTGCTGTCTGCCGATGCTCTGAGGTGCTTGTGAACACAGCCGTCATTTTACCTGCAGCTCCACAGTCTCGCTGCATTTCCTGAGACTCCTCGAGACGCCGCTGGTCACTCACTAAACTCCTCAGCTCTGCTCTGTCTGATGCACACTGGGATCCCTGCCTTCTTCCAGTCTAGGCTTTCATCCAGCGGTGCTCTTCCAGCTGCTGCAGCGTCAGCCGGTGAGCTGGATTACGGCTCAAGCAGTGGAAGATCAGGTCATGGCACGCTGGGAAGAGTTCAGAGAGAGCGCGGTTAGTCTCCACACATCAAACACGAACAGTAAACATCAGCATAATGTGGAGCTGTTTGTGTGTTCACCTGTGGATAAGGTGGGATCCATCCTGACGTAGCCTTGCTGAATGGCATCAAAGCTTTCGAAGGGCAGATATCTGTGAATGATCTCAAAGAGCAGAACGGCCAGCGCCCAGACGTCTGCTGCTGCGGCGTGGAATATGGACTGACCGAGGACCTCAGGAGGGGTGTATGCGTCTGATCCTGTGAGAGACACACACAGCTTCAGTGCTTCTGTACGCTTCACCATCAACAGCACAACATCACGTGATCATCAGCGAGACTCACCTTGGTATTGGCTGCTGTTAAAGCCCTCGCTGCTGATCAGACGAGCGCAGCGGAAGTCGATGAGCTTGAGCTCCAGACTGTGGAGAGTCACCAGGATGTTCCTCGAGCGGATATCACCATGATAAACTCCACGCTCATGGCAGTGTTTGACCGCTTGAAGCACCTGAAGCATGAACAAGCGTGCTTGTGCTTCACTAACGGGGCCGGAGAACAAGATGTAATCCTCCAAGGTCCTGCAGGGTTCAGGGTACTCCATAATGAGAGTGAAGCTGCTCTCATCCTCCAGCCACTGGTGTAGCTCCATGATGTTGGGGCATGAGGGAGCTTCTCCCAGCCGGAGCATCAGAGCCACTTCAGCAAGCAGGGGTTTGGAGTGACCAGGCTGAGAAGAGACGAACACAACCACAGTTAGTTTGCTGTCTTCTGTTCCAGCTGCATGTCAGCTACAGGTTATAAAAACACCAAATATTCTTCAGGTTTTGCTAACTTACAATGTCAAGATAGCGGTCCGCTCTGCGCTTGGGGACACACTTCAGAGCAACCTTCACTTTGTCGCTGAATATGTGTGTTCCCTCGTAGACCTTGCTGAAGTTTCCTGATGCGATCAAATGTCCCACTTCAAACAAAGACACGACGGATCCTGACAAACACACAGAAACAGAAGATGGACATGTTTGAGACTTCCTTTGATTGTAAAGAGCTGAGCTGAAGGACCATCAAATCAAGAGTCTTGAAGACTTTCTTTAGTTTCAGATGCACTGCAGATCAGCTACAAGTGATGGCAGAGTATCACAGTCTACAGCAGGGCTTGACATTAACACCAGCCAACCCAGCAAGTGCGGGTGGATTTCAGCAGTGACGGGGAACACGGTCACTCCCACTAGCCACTTTGGCGGGTTGATTTTTATATATAGAAACAGAGCTCGACAAGTGGATTTGTTGAGCGCATCTCTGTGCAACACAGCGGTGTTTTGGTTCTGAATGATTTGGCGCTTTTGAATTAATCATTTGAGTCAATGATTCAGTGGTCCACTCATAAAGACAGACACTTGCTTCAATCTTGAATGAATCCGCCGTCTGAACGAATCGTTTAAATGAAAGCCTCAATGACTCACTCGTTAAGACAGTCACTCGCTGCCACCTACTGGCGGTTTACTTTCATATTTAAAAGTAGCTTATCTTTGTATTTTTTCCAACATTTCATAATTGTATATTTAAAGAAAAAACTGATTTAAAACACCAAGCTCAAAACATTAATGTTATATTATAATTCTGCAGTGTAAATGCATTCATGTTACATTTCAGCTACATTAAACTGTCTGTGTAAATGCATAAAGGCCACTACAGCTGCTTCTGTTTCTTCTGCAGTGGAAAGATCGGTTTTGCTAATACTGATTTCATTTCATTGGTAACAGCCCTATAGTGTCTTATTATATTACGTGAAATTATTATTAAAATGTAAGAATTTGATATGAAAGATGATGCATGCATTTAATATGGTTAGGGAAAATGCCCTTTAAATAATAATAATAATAATCAATTTAAATACATTTTAGTATGCAGTAACTTTAGTCATATGAGATGTAATTTCCCAACAACAAAATTGTGGCCAGTGAAAATGCTGAGTGGCTAGTAAATTTGGAAAACCACTAGCCACAGTGGCTGGTGAGCAAAAAAGTTAATGCCAAGCCCAGGTCTACAGTATCGATAAAGAGAAAATAACACAGAGCAGAAATAACATGATGCAAAGCAGTAATGACTCACCTTGAGGCCGTTCGATTTCTGGATCAGGCGACACTGTGTCCGGTGCCATTTCTGACACGATCGACGGCACTGAACCGGGAACTGAACCAGACACTGAACCGGGACCTGAACCGGGAACTGAACCAGACAATGAACCGGGAACTGAACAGGACAGAACTGCATCGTGGGCCTCTTGCTGGATCTCAGAGGGACCTTCTTCCTCAGACGACTGGAGATCTGCAGAGACCTGGTCCTGCTCCGGCAGAAACAGCAGCTCAGGAACGAGCTGGGATTGGTCCAGATCCGGCTCTGCTTTAGGAGGCTGGACTCGGTCCGGGTCGCAGCAGGGGAAGAGCTGCTTCACAGCCTCACATGCTCTCCGGAAGAAGGCACGGACCGCTCTCCTCTTCCTTCCTTTCTTGGCCTTTTCTAAAACGAATGAAGAGCAAACCATTAGAAACATCTCTGACCACAGATTACATGTGAACTAGCAATTAAACATGGAAACAGTTCAACAAATGTCATTGTCAAATTATTAAGTAGTTACTTTAAGTGATCAAATCAGAATTACAACGGAGTGTCTATTTACACTAAATAGCATGCCTTTTTGGCAGAAGCTATTTACACTAACTCCAAAGTGTGATGGGGGTAGTCAACAAAAGACGGTCATCAAACATCTGGTCCAGTGGCGTAAATGGTTAAGGCGCGTGCTTTTTGACACAATCGACCCTTTTGCCAAAATTGTTTCTCCCTTTTCAAATCTCATATCACATAGAAAAGGCATTTATTTTCTATAAAAATAAAGGAAATAATCAAAAAGTTGAAAAAGTATCAGGTAGGGTTAGGGTAGGAGTAGGGAGCGCTTTATTGTCCCAATAAGGTGGCATCCATTTAATTATTTGAATTTTAATTTACATTTAATATGCTATTATTGCATACTGTTTTATAATTTATTACAATACTGAGGTGCAGATAATTGACACTATTTGCAATAAGTGGTATAATTAGCAGAAAATCTTGCTATTTTAACGGTGTAACTTTTTAACTATTTTTACTTAGTGTGAATAGCCGCTGCCAAATAATGATTATTAGAATAGAACAGGACTGAAATAAAGGAACCAAAGTAATAATGACTCACTGTGACACAGATTCAGAGCGGATGAATCTGGAACAGGATCCGGTGTTTGCTCGATGATCCCGGAGGAACGTGGCACACACGACGGCGGCTCCGGATCGTCACACACCTGCCCCGGCAGACACAGCAGCTCCAGAACGGCAGGATCCGCGGCAGCCGTCGGACCCGAGACAGGCGTCACCTCGGGATCGTCCAGAAGAGCGTCCGTCTGTGCTGCGAGACGCACCACTCTGTCCGGCCCGCAGCAGACGAACGGCCGCTTTACAGCCTTGCACAGCTTCCGGAAGAAGACACGCACTGCTTTCCCATTCTTCCCTTTGGAAGCTTTGTCTGGAATAAAGAAGAGCGAAGAGCAAACTATTAGAAACAAACATCTCTGACTACAGATCAGAAACAGATTCAATTTCCTGACAGTAAACTGACTCAAGAAGAAAGTAAAGTGCAGCTCTAATAATTAGAATAACTTGTAATTAGTTCACAGAAACGATCTGCAGTTAAATTCAGGGCCGGATTGACCTTTTATAGTGACATACTAATAGCGAATCTTTAAAGGGGTCATATGATGTGATTTCAAGTTTCCCTTTCTCTTTGGAGTGTTACAAGCTGATTGTGCATAGATAAGATCCCTGAAGTTGCAAAGACTAAAGTCTCAAAACCAAAGAGGTTTCTTTTTTTTGATAATTCTTTATCAAAGTTAAGACTCTGCCACGCCCCCCTAAAACGGCTATACACAAAATAATGATCTTTTAAAAAGCATCATATGACCCCTTTAAGTTGAACTGCTTCAAGAACCCCGCTACTAAGAAATGTCATGTAGCTTTTCAGCTGTGAAACTATTTTGTTGATAAATTTGCGGGGCAGCGCTGACAACAAGTTTCTGTTCACGTCTCCGCGTCTCTGAGAGACAGAAAGCGTTATTTCCTTGCATTAAAAGGTGAAAAACATAGAAATAGTTTGTCATGTTTTTACCCTATTGTTTGTTATATATATTTGCTGTGGTTTTGGTTCTTTTACTGCTGTAGATAGCCCATAGTATAACAAAAATGTTATATATCTCTTCATTGTGTTTGGGCCCCCTGGACGAGCAAGCACACCCAGGTAAACCCGGCCCTGATTAAATTCATATTTTGCTGGAACGCTGGATATTCTTGTCAAAGAGGTCAAACACTGAGCTCAGACCGAGAGAAGCAAAGTAACACTAGAGAGATTACTGCTGTTGATTCCCATCTCACCTGCTGGGCTGTTGTTCTCCATCGTGTCCTTCATTTCATCGTTCAGATCGATACTTTCGAAGCTCGATGCTTCCGAAGCCCAGGCGGCTCGAGCGACAGATTCACTGCGCTCAGTTGTTGTAGACATCTTGTTTGATTATGACAGAAATCAGATTATACTGATAATTGTGGACACAATGTGTGTAAACTGTGAATAGTCTGAAAAAACTGTCTGTAAACCGTGAATCTAAAGTGAGCGGAACCAGTCGCTGATTTCAAACACTCACTCAACCAGATCCGCGTCTGCCGTTAGAAGCTTGAGCAGGGCTTTATATACCCGCTGCTCTGTGACGTCACACTCAAGGCGCTCGCGCTTTTCTTTTCTTTTCTTTTTTTTGTTTGTTACAGCGCTCATAGCCGCTGTGTTTTGTGGTTGTTTTAAAATGAATACTAATAGAGTGGGGGAACTATGACGTCACTTTCTAGGCGGATCGGCTGGCAGCATCGCACTGGTTCCGTCACAAAAAACCAATGGGATTTTTCCATAGGCTTTTGGATTATCGCAAAAACAAAAAAGCTCTGTGTTCAGTCATAGTTCATGAAACGTACACGTTTTGTCCATCAAGATAATCTTCACAAAATAACTTTCATGAATTTTGAAGCCAAAATAAAATCGCCAGAATTGAAACGCTAAACTTATATAAAACGAACTACAGCACCACGGTAGCGAAAAGGATTTACTCTGTAACGTTATATGCATTTTAATCCACGCTACATTAACCTTTTCATATAAACTGGAATAAATACAAAACTAGAGCCAAACTAAAACTGAAATGAGACATTTAATAAATATTATAGTGAATAAATGAAATAATCATAACTAAAGGACGTATGAAAGGCTGTACATTTCGAAATAAGGTGCATTAAAAGTCAATAAATCCTTGATTAATATGAATATTTTAATTAAAAACGTGTCTCCGCGTACTATTCAATAAAATTCTAGTGCATTTAATCTATTAATAGCAGAGTGAGCGAGTTTTTGGATATGGTAAGATTAAACTTATTTTAGTGAATAAAGTACCACATCTGAGCTATCGTTTTGTTAGGGATGGTAACAATGTTATTTTATCCTTGCTTCTAGAAAATCCTCAATCTGCTTTCTAACAGCTTCATGTGGCCGTAAACATTTAATTTTAACGTGGCTTTAAGCACTATGCATTCTTAAAGTTTCACTTTCCCCGAGACTAAGCCGCTAAATGTGGTGTTTACATGGAATAATCGTGATATGAGTTTACCTTATGGTGCCCAGAGTCTCCGAATGAGTAAGCGATAAAACTATGCGAGCATCTTCCATCCCAAGTAGGGTTGCCAACCGTTCCGTATAATACGGAATCGTCCCGTATTTAAGGCATCAAAGAAGCGTTCCGTATGAAAGCTATACGGAACGCAGTTTGTCCCGTATTTAAGGCATATGCCGTATGAACACCTAGACCATACGAATAACAAACTCTAAATTGAGAATTAATCATTCTTTTTTGACAAGTGTTTGATTTGTGAACATAGCCGCTCCAGGGAGGCTTTAAGAGCAAGCGGAATCCTCTTCACAGCGAGCGGGACTCGCGCTAACAGAGTTGGGGTTTTTTAACGACCGCGTTTCGACTTCAGCAAATCAGTTTGAGCGAATGCAAACAACGTGATTCATATCCAGCCACGCAAGAAAACGTGCATTTTACCTGAGAGAAGATGTGATCAATGAGGAAAGTCGTATTTACATTTAAGTAACTTCCAGCGTATTCTTAAATTTTATTTGAATTATTGCTAAATCTGCACCTCTTCTGTGGCAAATTTAAATTTCATAATGATTCTTACTCCGTGAAGTCAAGCAGCAGAAGTTAAGTGACAATATGCAAATACTTATGGCCCATTTTGGGGTGAACTAAATATACAAGACTAGT